CGAACTCATGTTCCATGTCCATACTTTCTCTTCTTCGCGCCTATATAACCCGTGAGACCCTAAAATCTAAAGGGACAATTTATTGGAATTCCCTCGTAAATTTAACCACTCCATTGGAGAAAACGATGTTTCGATGCCGTTTTGGTTCGTAACAGTAATAGCCTAATAGGATCGGTGCCTAAAAGAAATTCGAAGCGCGCTTCTCTGGAACTCTGTAACTGCTGCTACTGCTATGGACTCTAGCCCCAACAAAGCGTTAACGGACACTCGCTTTTCGATCTTAAGCCGCCGCTCTCCGATCCGGTTCTCGAAGCCTTGAAGAAGCCGGCTTCGAGTTCTGTACGCCAGTCAAGCCGCCACTATCCCTTTGCTATGCAGCTATAAGGACGTCTCTGTCGACGCCGCCACCGGCTCCGGTAAAACCTAGCTTTTCTTGTCCCTCTCGTGGAATCCTCCGCGCCCACTTCTCCTCCAAAACCTCACCAGGTCCCTCTCTTGCTTGAAGTACATAGAAAAGTTCCAATTTTTAGAAGACCTCAAAGACTGAATTAAGCTTTACTCAGTTAGCTGGAGATTTTTAGTGATAATTTGTATTCTTGTTATTTTAATGCCCCTTTTTTAGCTGTGTTTTGGTGAGATAAGTAATTGGATTTGCTATGTTACAGGTGATGGGAATGATTATATCGCCAACAAGGGAGTTATCATCGCAAATTTATCACGTTGCTCAGCTTTCATTTCTACGTTGTCGAAGTTAAGGCTATGCTTCTTGTGGGTGGGTTGATGTGAAAACAGATATGAAGAAGATAGAGGAGGAAGGAGCAAATATTTATTATTGGTACGCCTGGGCGGTTATATGACATAATGGACGTATGGATGTTTTATTCAGGAACCTTGAGGTAGTGTTTGATTTTTGAATTAAATCAATTCATGTTAATTACCAAGATGTAGCAAGTTTTATTTTTTGTATAAGCAATTGAGAATTTGCTATATGCAGAAGTGCATTGATTATGTTTGTTAAATGCGGAGATGACTGGATTAGTTACAGCTGTTTGGTTAAGCAGATTTTGATTCTAGAGAAGCTGACAGACTCTTAGATATGGGATTTCAGAAACAGATAAGTTACATAATCTCGTTTGCCAAAGCTTCGTAGAACTGGTTTTTTTCAGCTACTCAAACGGAGGCTGTTGAAGAGCCGCAAAGAGGGCTGAGGATCCTGGAGGGTTGAAGTTCGAGCAGAAGCAAAATCGCAGCCTGGTCAGCATCATCTCAAACATTAGCCTCTTCAAAAACACCTTCAGGCCTTCACCTTGAGTATGCGATGTGGATTTATTTATTTACATTTATGTTGCATTTGGCTACGCAGAACTGGAATTGAATTGAATGAATTTATAGAATGCAATAAGATATATTATATTCTGTAAGACTGATCCACTATTTGTATTCAACCTTGAGTTAACCTAGAATTAATGATATTCCTTCTTCTCAAAGCCATAATGTTGCATGCAATAGTGAATGTTATTTTCTTGGTTTTCAAAACTTATGAGGTCTTTGCAATTTGCATTGAAATTGATTTCTTCTTTGTTCTGCAGTATTTGGAATGTGAAGAAGATAAGAAACCATCACAACTCATTGATCTCCTTATTAAGAACAGTTCTAAAAAAACTATATGTAAGTTCTACGTGGACATTTCTCAAAGGAGTATAGTGCAATCTCTTTGAAACTAGGGGCCAATGAGCTATCATAATTGGTTAAATGATTCCTTCTTGTTCAGATATTTTATGACTTGTGCTTGTGTTGACTACTGGGAGTTGTTCTTCCGCGTTTGTGTGTTTTAAAGGGTCTTTCTTTGATCCCCCTTCATGGAAAGATGAAGCAGGTATATTTGGATATGGAATAGTTTGTTAGTCTCTAAGATTACAATTTTGTAGTGCCCATTCTGTATTCTGACTTATTTTAACTTTTTACGCCCATAGACTGCTAGGAGAAAAAGTTAGCTTCATTCACTCCCTTTCAAGTGGCATTCTCTATGTACTGTGTTGCAGCACGTGGACTTGACATTCGGTGTTGATTGTATAATTCAGGTAGCTTTTGCAAAATACACAAAAGTACACTTTTGTGATTCATGTAATTTTACAAATGTGATTTTTTGTTTGTTACTTTTGCAGTATGATCCACCTCAAGATCCAAATGTCATTCAACCGAGTTGGTCGAACTGCTCGATTGGGTAAACAAGGAGTTCAATTGTTTTTTTATCACCAAGGTATTTTTTGTGCATCTGTTTGGTGATTATGGTAGACTTGTTTTCCTCTAAAGAAAAATTACAAGGTGAATGTTTATTTGTTATGCAGGAGGAAGCTTATGAGAATTCCTGCGATAAGAAGGGTTCCTCACAGAGAAAAATTGCACTGATGATGTTTCTGATGTAGTTCCTAGGTAAGCACAATTTCCTAAATTATCTCACTGTTTTCTACTGTGTCGTGAAATTTTTTACAGAGATGAAGGTACCCAGATGTGAAAATTGAGACAAATCTTTAGAGTGAATGTTATTTGTCAATTGTTAATTAATAGTGGTTTGGTACTTAGGGCCAGCGACAAAATGACAGCCATGTTCACTGCTTGTTTCAATTCTGGATTGCAATTTGCAAGCAGCAAAAATCATATACACCCAACAAATATGGCAAATCCCAGCTAAAACCTCTATAATAATTCATCATATATCTTTATAGAGCTAGTCTTCCCTGGACAAACACAAATACATCATCTAGATTTTTCAGAAGATGAACTGGACATACAATAATTCTGATAGGATTGCATACCATTCCCGAGTTTCTTCGCAAGTTCAAAATTTGAACATTTCCGCAGCTCCATGCACACAGATCAATCTGATAAGTGTTCATGACACTCATTGCACAGATATCATGAAGCAAAATGTAGACATAAGGTCGTTAATTGGATGCTGGTAAAGCTGGATAGATATCGTTCGAAGCAAGAGAGCAAGTAAAAAAGCAAATTGTTGCAGAAAATAAAGAATAAAACAGATTCAACATTTGGACTAATAGCCACACACACATGCAGGCATAGGGTTTAACACGTTATAAATCAGTCAATCCACCTGCACAAATACAATTACTGCTTATGCGAAGATAATAGCACATAACAAAAAGAACGAATCCTCTCAAAGTTACTTCCTTGACAACTTAATATAATGATACTTAATGAATACTTCTTCCACGACCATTTCATGTACTAGTGTTTCCTGAATTTGACAGACAAAACCTTAGCTGCTACTCTCTCTTTCGTTATACTCATCATATCCAATCTTACAATAGAACATCCAAGAATTCATGAATCAGGGAAAAGTATTAAAGACAGACAGAAATAAGAATGATCAAAACCTTTCTGCCAGTCTAGCACTAACTGCTCTAAGTTTTGAGTACACTTTTCCAGCAGGTGAACCTAAAATGAGGCTGCAAAGTGAATCCCTTGCAATTTTAATGCTGGCAAAAGATCCAAGTATGTGAATTTTTGTGTCAGCAATCACAATCCTTGTCCTTGTCGTATTTTCAATAGTAAACTTTGTTTTGCCACCTTTACCAGACAGCCTTCCGATAGCACGAGACAAATGCTCACCACGAAGTGTTTTGACATCCTTGATCTCAAAAGATTCCACATACAGCTCATCAATACGCAAAAGAGCAATAGCATCTATAACATCGAAACCTAGCATGAATGCGTGCACAAAATCCGCGCACTTCTGTAGGTTACTAATGTCTGGTGTGTCTGGTCTAGTCTTCAATTCAACTCTACGAGCCTTGAGATTCATACGGATGTCAATCTTCATCTGCTCATATACCGGAGTGTAGATGTCCATCCATGCTTTCTTGAGAGGTGAATACCGATGAGGTGGGACAGAGACCCTCCGAAACTGCACTCGACCATCAGACATCTCATGTGCCTTCAAAGGCTCAAACTGTGGCTTTGGTGGCAAAGAGCCAGACTCCTTTTGGGTTTGAGATGAAACTGTTTCAACTTCCATGGTAGCAGGGATTTGTCTGAACTGTATAGTGCAAAAGCAAATTCTTCCCTTAAAAAAATTCTGATAGATACGCATAAATGCAAATTTCATACTGTTAGCCACGCTGTGGCTCCATTCATTTTCAAAATTCCAATTGGAAATCAACTATTACCATTAAAAACAAGAAAAGCAATGGCCAAAACAATAACCAAACAAGACTAATACATAAACCAGCTTTAAATGAACCCAGCAAACAATCAAAGAAAATGCACGTTCACTTCCCTGACTGTACCACGGCACCAGGCCAAATAACTGGCAACATTACTCGAAAGGTTTGATTATAATATAAATGATTTTTCAGTTATACAACTATTTTATATAATACCGTCCCTAAACTATAGTTACATGAAATCAAAACTTTGCTACTCATAACTAAACCATAAATTATCGGCACAGTGTTAACACAGGGCTGGTGTCCTAGTATAACCCTTACTTCACATCAAAAACTGATAACTCTAGCAATACACAAGTATAAATATGTTGAAAATTGAATCCTATCACCAAACCTAGCAAAGATAGGAACACATAGAAGTTTCAAATTTTATTCATCTTATTTAAAAAAGATGAGAGGAGCTTGACAAGAGGATTTAATTTACCTGATACGAGCTTTCTTCTCCGATCGATGTCGGCTACCGACGGCGCAGTTTAAGGCTCGAGAGAAGTAAAGCTGAAAGGGGTTGGCGGCAGAAGGCTTCCGAGTATTTGTAAGTGCCATACTATTTTGATACGACACCGTTTGGTCACTGTTAACCTAGCCTGTGGATTTAATTAATAACTACCTGAGGATATAATTGTAAAATCAGTACTTAATTTGGCTATTTTCTAAATTTTAAAAAATGACCATTTTTCCTTGTTTATCCAATAAATGGACAATTTATTGGAATTCCCTCGTAAATATTTAACCACTCCATTGGAGAAAACGACGTGTTTCGATGCCGTTTTGGTTCGTAATGCAGTAATAGCCTAATAGGTATCGGTGCCTAAAAGAAATTTCGAAGCGCGCTTCTCTGGAACTCTGTAACTGCTGCTACTGCTATGGACTCTAGCCCCAACAAAGCGTTAACGGACACTCGCTTTTCCGATCTTAAGCCGCCGCTCTCCGATCCGGTTCTCGAAGCCTTGACAGAAGCCGGCTTCGAGTTCTGTACGCCAGTTCAAGCCGCCACTATCCCTTTGCTATGCAGCTATAAGGACGTCTCTGTCGACGCCGCCACCGGCTCCGGTAAAACTCTAGCTTTTCTTGTCCCTCTCGTGGAAATCCTCCGCCGCACCACTTCTCCTCCAAAACCTCACCAGGTCCCTCTCTTGCTTGAAGTACATAGAAAAGTTCCAATTTTTAGAAGACCTCAAAGGACTGAATTAAGCTTTTACTTCAGTTAGCTGGAGATTTTTAGTTGAATAATTTGTATTCTTGTTATTTTAATTGCCCCATTTTTTAGCTGTTGTTTTGGTGAGATAAGTAATTGGATTTGCTATGTTACAGGTGATGGGAATGATTATATCGCCAACAAGGGAGTTATCATCGCAAATTTATCACGTTGCTCAGCCTTTCATTTCTACGTTGTCGAATGTTAAGGCTATGCTTCTTGTGGGTGGTGTTGATGTGAAAACAGATATGAAGAAGATAGAGGAGGAAGGAGCAAATTTATTGATTGGTACGCCTGGGCGGTTATATGACATAATGGAACGTATGGATGTTTTAGATTTCAGGAACCTTGAGGTAGTTTTTTTGAGAATTAAATCAATTCATGTTAATTACCAAGATGTAGCAAGTTTTATTTTTTGTATAAGCAATTGAGAATTTGCTATATGCAGAAGTGGCATTGATTATGTTTGTTAAATGCGGAGATGACTGGATTAGTTACAGCTGTTTGGTTAATGCAGATTTTGATTCTAGATGAAGCTGACAGACTCTTAGATATGGGATTTCAGAAACAGATAAGTTACATAATATCTCGTTTGCCAAAGCTTCGTAGAACTGGTCTTTTTTCAGCTACTCAAACGGAGGCTGTTGAAGAGCTGTCCAAAGCAGGGCTGAGGAATCCTGTGAGGGTTGAAGTTCGAGCAGAAGCAAAATCGCAGCCTGGTTCAGCATCATCTCAAACATTAGCCTCTTCAAAAACACCTTCAGGCCTTCACCTTGAGGTATGCTGCATGTGGATTTATTTATTTACATTTATGTTGCATTTGGCTACGCAGAACTGGAATTGAATTGAATTGAATTTCATAGAATTGCAATAAGATATATTAGTATTCTGTAAGACTGGAATTCCACTATTTGTATTCAACCTTGAGTTAACCTAGAATTAATGATATTCCTTCTTCTCAAAGCCATAATGATTGCATGCAATAGTGAATGTTCATTTTCTTGGTTTTCAAAACTTATTGAGTCTTTGCAATTTGCATTGAAATTGATTTCTTCTTTGATTCTGCAGTATTTGGAATGTGAAGAAGATAAGAAACCATCACAACTCATTGATCTCCTCATTAAGAACAGTTCTAAAAAAACTATAATGTAAGTTCTACGTGGACATTTCTCAAAGGATGGATAGTGCAATCTCTTTGAAACTAGGGGCCAATGAGCTATCATAATTGGTTAAAATGATTTCCTTCTTGCTTCAGATATTTTATGACTTGTGCTTGTGTTGACTACTGGGGAGTTGTTCTTCCGCGTTTGGCTGTTTTAAAGGGTCTTTCTTTGATCCCCCTTCATGGAAAGATGAAGCAGGTAATATTTTGGATATTGGAATAGTTTTTTAGTCTCTAAGATTACAATTTTGTAGTGCCCATTCTGTATTCTGACTTATTTTAACTTTTTACGCCCATAGACTGCTAGGGAGAAAGCATTAGCTTCATTCACGTCCCTTTCAAGTGGCATTCTTCTATGTACTGATGTTGCAGCACGTGGACTTGACATTCCCGGTGTTGATTGTATAATTCAGGTAGCTTTGCAAAATACACAAAAGTACACTTTTGTGATTCATGTAATTTTACAAATGCTGATTTTTTGTTTGTTACTTTTGCAGTATGATCCACCTCAAGATCCAAATGTTTTCATTCACCGAGTTGGGCGAACTGCTCGATTGGGTAAACAAGGAAGTTCAATTGTTTTTTTATCACCAAAGGTATTTTTTGTGCATCTGTTTGGTGATTATTTGGTAGACTTGTTTTCCTCTAAAGAAAAATTACAAGGTGAATGTTTATTTGTATTTATGCAGGAGGAAGCTTATGTAGAATTCCTGCGCATAAGAAGGGTTCCTCTACAGGAGAAAAATTGCACTGATGATGTTTCTGATGTAGTTCCTCAGGTAAGCACAATTTCTACAGTGGATACTCTTCCCATGTTATGCTCATGGTTTGAATTTGTTCTGGATATGTCTTGCTATTAGCAAAAAGAAAATGATTATAGGCGGAAATTGATATTAAACTCTAGAACCATGGCCCAGCTGGCCCGAAATAGTATCTACATTGTTTTTCACCTTTATTTTATGGCAATTGATCCAATATCTGACCACAACTTGTTTCAGATACGGTCTGCTGCCAAAAAAGATCGTGATGTGATGGAAAAAGGACTCAGAGCATTTGTTTCTTATATCCGTGCATATAAAGAGCATCAATGCTCTTACATCTTCAGGTTACTACTGCTTTTCTTTTAGTCTATAGCTGTTTGCTTTTATCTATTTTTTTATTAACACATTTTTTCTTCTCTTGTATTTTACAGGTGGAAAGAACTTGAGATTGGTAAGTTGGCTATGGGCTATGGCTTACTACAGCTTCCTTCAATGCCTGAGGTAAAGAACCATTCACTTTCCACCAAGGGTTTCACTCCAGTTGAAGATATCAATTTGGAGGACATCAAGTATATGTAAGAATTCACAGGCTCTTGTTGATTCAAATATTCTTTTCTTCATAGTTTTAAGTATGAGAGGAAACTATGATTCTTGTATTAGAACCATCAATTTTTATTTTTATTTTTCTCTCTACTATGTGCTTTTCTACATGTGCTGTGATAATATCAAGCCTGCAATAATAGCTAAAAATAATCATTTTTCAATTAGGGACAAATATCGTGAGAAACAAAGGAAGAAGAATCTGCAAGCAAAGAAAGAAGCACAACAGCAAGAACCAAAATTCCAGAAACCCAACAAAACACCAAAGGATGCAACTACTGTTATGAGGAAGAAAACAGCCAAACAGAGACGTGCTTCCCAAGCAGTTGAGGATGATGATGAGTTGGCACGAGATTACCGTCTACTCAAAAAGCTGAAAAAGGGAAACATAGACGAAAGTGAATTTGCGAAATTAACTGGAACTGAAGAGTTACTTTGAAGTGCATGTCTAAATTATGCAGGTTGTGGTCTTGCGAATTTAGATGTTGACTGGGTTTTGGTGGGACTCAAAATGAGAGACAGACTTTAGACCCATCAATAGTCAGGTTCCAGCACTTCTACAGATTAAATGCCATCGTCGTAACAGAAAACTGGTGACAGACAACTTCAATAGTGATGGAGCTTCACTCTTGGTTAGTTCCCTTGTGAGGTCTTAAGTGAGTGGTAAATTTTGGTGCTGAGAGACCTTTTCTTTTTCCTGGTAATTCCATGCATAGCGTTGTTAGGTATTGTTAGGTCAGACATAAGAGATATGCAGCAAAAGTAGAGATGTTAACACAAAAATGTACCTCAACATTTAGTCATTGGCAATGAATGCAAAAATATTTAATAAAATGTTTAAACTGATGGTATATTGAATTGTCGATTGTAAAATTAGCCCTGGTTAAACTGGGTATTGACTATTGACAGGATAGTTACTAAAGTTCTGCCATGAATATGGATAAAGAACAGTGGTGTAGATGCAACTTCAAAGACTTGCAGAATTAATATAGTCACGTGACCATCAATATTATCATCTATTAGACAGCCTGC